GCAAGAATGTTGCAACATATCGTTAGCGGAGAGGGAATTGTTTTTATGTTTTCGGTTTTTTTTTTTACTTTTTTCGGATGTATATATAATTTTGACTACCTACATCTAGAACAGATCCTTATAGACTACTTTAAAACAAAAAATCGCACGATGGTCCAATTTGTTTAATGAATTACAGTGCTAACTTCGGATGGTGGGTACAAATGTTCCACGATTATTGATCAACGTATACTTTTTTGGTTATTGACCGCAGGGTTAAGTGTTGTACATCCCATTTTATGAGCCGTAAAAAGTGAACTTTAATGTTTTCTTATCACAGAATATGAACATTTTCTGGACAATTATTGATGTTAATCTGCGGCGTACATTTAATTCTTTTAAATATATTGATTGCACATTTGTCCTACTAGTACTTTATTGAAACGATTATTAAGTAATTTTCCTTAATAGTAAAAAAATCATTATTTTACAAACAATTTCTTTTTTTTTCAGATTTCCACCTCAATTCCACTATTACGACAACGCACGGTGGAGTTCCAAACCACTAAGGTTCCGTCACCTGAGGCCAACATAACGAATTAAAGGTAAGGCGAAATTATCGTTTATTTACTATTAATACCTTATAGTTCATATGTATTATCCAGGTGATGCGATTTGAATAAGTAAGAATAATTAATAAAACTAATAAATTCATTTCCATTACTGCGGGGATTCGATATATCCTGGCTACAACACAAACCAATTTTTGAAACGAATGAATTATTATATGCGTTAAGTGATATATACGCTACAGTACAAAGTGGATCTTTATATACCACCACCACATTCACATGACCACATACTGATAAAAATATACAATTAATTTATTTTCTGAACATAAATACATATTTTCCACCTCATGGATATTTTTCTAATTCTCAGTAATTTTCCTGTTTTTTGAAAACAATATTTGGCGTAGGTTCCAACTAGTTATTTTTTAGACGTTTAAAATCGCTCATTCCATTCGAAGGGGCCAGGCGCTATTCAACAACTTCTGAACTAAATGAGATATGTTTCAGACCTTGAATTATACCTGCGGGAATTAGTAAATCAAATATGCCTTGGATCGAACCATATTTTGCTAAAGCTATAATTTGATTTTCTCCCCGCTAGATCGATGATTTGGACGATGTGCAAATTTATCCAAAATAGATAAATTATATTCAAAATTTATATTTATTGGAAGATATTGTTGTCGTGGGTTTCGCATACCCACTTGCACACCAAATATTTTCAGCGAATACGCGAATTGCATGCTTTGTAATTGTAATGTATGTATTTGGTAATATTTAAAGTCGAAACCCATATCAGAGGAAACTACCGATCTAATCATCTAAAAGAATTTGTAGAAGAATGCGTCCCGTAGTTTACATGGCAAAACTGTGTTAACAAATCAAAAATCAATTAACCCAATTAAAAAATCAAAAATGCAAAAAAAAAGTGGATCGGATTCAAAATTTAAACTATTTTCCATTTTCTATTTGATATTCTCACACTTTTGTTTGTTATTCGCGAATATTAAAACGCGTTTTCAATGTGATTTGGCACGTATGCAGAGAAAAAAATGGGTTGAACTTTTTGTGGAGAAGTTCGCGAATTACAACAAATATAATTTTTTTATAATTATACCCTACACAACTATGTTGCCAGGGTATTATAGCTTTGTGCAGCCCCAAATGTTTGTAACGCCGCGAAATATTGGTCCTAGACCCACCTTTAAGTATACCGATCGTCATATCTCGACTACCTGAGTCGATCTAGACATGTGTGTCCGTCCGTCCGTCCGTCCGTCTGTCCATTATAATTTGTAAACACGATACAGGCCACAGCTATGGACCAATCTTCACGAAATTTTGCATGTAGGATGGGTTCTGGCCAATGAAGACCCCTATTGTTTTTGGAAAAGATCTGTTAATATTTAGGGGATGAAATGGACCAAATACTAAATTGTTGTCGGTTTTTCTGGTCGCTCCAGAGGCCGCAATTATGGCCCAAACACCGCGAATTCGAGAAGGGGATCGGGCCAGAGAATAAGGATGCATGTTTTGATAAAGATCGGTCAATATTTAGCGGGTCAAATGGACCCTGACTTTTGTGTGAAAAATGACAAATTTTGTATTCTATGGCATATATATTTACTCCTGGAGGATGTAGACCCCAGGAGTTGATAGCATATCCAATAGGAGTGGTTGGCCTTTAAAATGATACCAAATATAGTGATGTATCTACTCAGATGTGGGAGTTACAGTCAAATATTTACAGGTGCTTACGTATTCAGATATTATTTAGTAACCCATTACCACATTAGAGGGAGAAATATCGTGCTGATGGCTTTGAAATTGTTCATGAAGTTCCAGTTATGGTCAAGAACAACGCCTACAATTTTCGGTGATGATCTGATTAAAATTTTGGGATGAAATGGACGGAAAACATAATTTTTTGTGTGTATTACTCAGACTCGGAATAAACATCCTCAGAAAGTTAGAGTTCGTGGTAGTTGTGTAGGGTATCGTATGGTCGGCCCCGTCCGACTATACTGCTCCGCTCACTGGTTTATATTTATTTATATGTACCAAAAATCATCGATGTGCGCGCCAATGAAAATATTCAAATTGTTTTATTGGAATTTTAAAAGATAATTGGAAATGCCCAATATATAAAAAATTAAGAACTACTCCAAATACATTGGTAAAATAGTATTAGGATTAGTTTAGATATTTTAGACATAAAATCAATTTAATCATATCCAATTTTAATTTTCAACGGTATCGGAATCGGTATTTATGGAGTTCAAATAATTATTTAGAACCGAAGTGGTCTATGATTTTTAATTTATATGTACTACTTGATAATTTGTTTTAATTGTTTTAGAGAATGCGGAAGGTTATTGAAATTTGTGGCTGATTGGTTCTGCTTGACCGAAAAAGGGAAACAGTTGTACTAGAAAATCAGGAGTTTGTTCTTTAGTAACATTATGAAACGCGCGTTTGAATGCATGCAGTAATAACCCGCAACATATTATCATCTCATTCGTCGCAAACATATTTGTTCGCATCTTCTGTTTATGATATTCCGTAATTGACATTTAAAATAATGTTCAAAATCTTCTGATGGCTAAAGTTTCCTATAGATTTCATTCGACATTGCGAATTTATGAGTGACAAATCATACCATGTCTCTATGGATGCCGCAGTTCGTTCTTATAAAATGAGATACCATTGTAATAACGGTCTGGACAAAAGTTTTTCGAATTTATTTAAATGAAACCCTTACGACCGTTGAAATGACATGCGTTCATCCATTTGCACATTAAATAAATAATGCTGGCTTCCTATTGCGTCTTCAAAATGCGGAAGAGTCCGTTCTTTTCTGACGTAATCATTTTCGGATAGACAAAGCAGTAGGGAGAATAATTGGTCTGTCATTTGGGACGTCCGAAGCGTCAAGGATTCACACTGAGCGATAAATGATTCAAACATGTAGTGCCTTTGTCACACTTTCGAGGATACAAGCCCCACAACGACTTACCGATTATTGTTATTTTTTTTTAACCATAAAATCACATTTTAAATTTCCTCCTTCCTTGTGCGTGTGTTGTCATCCATGTGCTCGATATGAGTGAGACATGCGGTTGATAAGTATTGACATCGTTTTAATATTTTGCTAAACATTTATGTTTGAAAACTGTCGAATCGAAAATGACTCTTTGTAACATGGCGCCAACACACACTCACGCATTAGCACACACAGATTGTATGTTATGGAGAGGGTGGTTAGGGCGGATGTGGAGCAAGATTTATGCGACCGTTGTGTGGAAATGTAAAACTTAAAAGTTGGACGGTTTGATATTTTTGTAAGCCGGCGGTAAGGAATAGTTAGTTGACCGGAGAGGGTTTCTATATTTTGGACTTACATTGCCAGTATTGTTAGACTAGTATGAATCGGCTTAGCACGCGATCGAAAGGGCGTAGCTAATCCATCCCCCACAACCTGAGAAATGGCGTGTTAATTAATTGCTCAATTAACTTGATGTTTACCATCTGTTACTGGATACAACAATAACACTTTATTTCGCAGTCAAACTTGAAGAACTCCGATGATGGTGGTGCCCATGACGGAGGTTTACTGATGCTTTTGTTAGTTATGCCAAACCAACCAACCGACCCAACCACTGAGACATAGATGAAACTCGAGACGCCTTCAACGTCACGACACAAGTTTGAGCATAAGTGTGTATGCGATATATTTAATCGCCAACGAAGTAACATTCAACTTTCCGTCCTGCAACATAATACTTGCCAAAAGTTCAAAAAGTCAATTGTTGAACATTTAGGCATCTCCATCTCCGTCTTCACTACCAAACCTCCATCCTGTTCAGCCTGTTGCAAAGAAACGTTGGGGATTTATTCTCTGATGCTGATGGCGGTAGAGTAAAGGAAACGAAACGAGGAAAGAAAAATTAATTGTAAAATTTTGCATTTTTATTAGCAACTCAATGAGAGTGATATTGAAGGGCATGTTGTTGTCACAAGCACTCACCCTTTCGTGATGCTGTAATAAAAATTCTTGGCTGATTTCTAGATTTCCATTTTGTTTGTTTATTTAAAGCTACTTTGTGTTAACCAAAATTATATCGAATATTGAGATGGTGTACTTAAAACTAGGATGTCCCTGTCTCTTAAATATCTTAAAACTAAATCAGCTGTCTTCCCGTTCAGTATACGCGTATTGGTTGAATGTTCCTTGGCGAATGACCGAATTGTTGTGTACGCGTGTGTGCCCGAGTCCTTAGAGAGTCCAAAGTGAAACAATTAAATACTAATTTGGCTGCGATCATCATCTACATATACCGAGAGGGTTTTGTGTTGGCTGGCTGGGGGAAATTGGTTTGTGGTTATAGGTCGGCTAGTTGACAAAACAAAACGTTCAGCTGACGATTTTATTGTTAGAACGTAAAAAACTGAAGGTTTATCCCTTTTTAAACTTGAGCAGGCATATGCTCAGGACAAGGAAGACTAGCACCCAGGATGATATGGATATAAAACCAGCATAAACAGATGGATTGGACATATCCCAACCCCGCTGCAGGATCGAACGCAGCGATTCGGTAGGTTTGGTAAGTGGCAGGAAGAAGGTTATGAACTGGAGGACTGGATACATGCCTTCTATCGGCCAAATTATGCCGCACAACATTACGATGGGCAGAAACGATCCCATTGCTACATATGTTGCCGTGCGCTCAGTATCTACCGCACAGGCAATGACAAAACCGAAGCACATACCACACAGGCCGTTTAGAAGGCAAAGACCGACCACAAGCCAAATGTTTCCCACCACTGTCAGGTTGAAGAAATAGAAGCTGACTACGAGGACAAATATCATTTGGGCAAACATCACGGTGAACTGAGTAAACACTTGCGAGAATAGAATTTCAGGACCCGTAACTCCGGCTACCAAACATCTCTCCAGCATGCCCTCGTTCCGGTCAATCAGCATGGCTCCCGAAGTTATGGCCACCGACAAGAAGAATATAATGGTGAGGATGACTCCAGGCGCTGCAAAGTCCGTGAAATTCGGATTGTTGAACCCGTAAATGGGATCCTTCCAGTCAACGGGAACTCGACCTAACTTCGGATTTAGCTCGCAGTCCAAAAGCATTTTCTCCACGAAATCGAAAAACGTATACTGCAAATCTCTGTAAATGAGCGTGGATATTTGCTGATCTGAAAGTATGACAACGGTTAGTACATGTCGAGCTGAATTTAATACCAACCACACATCTGTCTTTCTCCGCAACTTACTTGACATATCTAGGCGGACGTCGAGCTCAGACGATTCCACAGTCGCGTCGTCAGTGTAACGGGCATTCTCAGTTCGGTCTACCAACGAAATTGAATAGTTGCTTTGGAATATAAGGGATCCCCAGGCTTTGCCTCTTCTGACCAGGTCATGGGCCTCTTCGTCGCTGTAAGTATATGTCTGTGGGAAATAATTGTTAATAATTTCAATGATATTTAGTCGACTCAATTGAAATCCTCCTTTCGGATTTAGTATACATCGTGCGAAAAATGAGCGGTTAAACATTATTGAAGGTTTTGCTTGGTTATAATTAATTTTACCCCATTAATAGCATATATTGATTGCGAGAGCTCCGGCTAGTTTGTGCCGACAGAGCCAGCATCTAATATACGTGACGGCGGTTCGTTAGTAAATTGCAAAATCATTTATAAATAAACTAGCGAAGTGCCCGCAACTACGTATGCCGAAAGGGAATACAAAACAAATAAATAATATTTAATATGGAAATCGTGAATATTGTATAATTTGTTATTCTATAATTTCGAATTCCACCTCTATTCCTACATCTAATATCAAGTTTACTACCATTTAGTACTCTTCATACACATAAGCACTAAGTTCCGAAATCTCCTTCTTTTTCCATTATACAGATTTATCACATTTTACACTAGTTAGTACCAAAAACCCTTTGGTACTTCTTTCAACCCACATTCCAAATTTTAAGTTTCGAGCTCTCTCCGTTACCCAAATCCAAATAGTTCAAAATTTAGTGAATTTCGTACTATTTGTATACATAAATTCGAATTTCCTGTCTCAACTTGAAAAGTAATCTACAGTACAGCTCTTGAGTATATTTAATCTTAATTCTACACTCCAATAATACCATTTACAACGTTTCGTACTTATAACACTACCTCAATCCTTACTCTAACAGTATTTTTAATTCCAGATATAAGTATTTAATCTCTATCCGTTCACTCAAATCTAAATTCTACCAAGATTTTGTACCTTTATTTATTTAAATTTTAGGATTTCCGTCCTACCCGTTCACACAAAACAAATTCGACCATATTTAGTACCATTTAATCCGGTTCGTGTCCATAATTCCTTCCATAATTCCTTTAATTCCTAACTTACCATTTCCATCTCTGTCCGTTCACTCAAATTTAGTAAAATTTTTAGTACCATTTTTAATGTACTTACCAAAACATAGCTCTTATTTTTGACAAGCATGTCCAGGTAGCGACAACTCAACATTGTCTGATTGCACCCCATCGTTTGGGGGCAGAATTGTTGGGCTACCATCTCATCCGAGAGTTCGTGATTGGAAACGGCTATCTTTAGACCAGTGGGGTCATGGCCAATCGCGTAACAGAACAAAATTATTTGGACAACAGGCAGTCCAAGAATGAATAACATTACCCTGTAGTCAAGGAGAATTTAATATAATAGAATAATAATAGCATAGAGACACACTTACCCTACGTTGCGTACCATCCACAGGAAGTTCTTCCACATCAGAGCATGTAAATGATTGCCACTCATGACGTGTAAATGGTACCAGAATGATGCAGGTATTTCTTGTTCCGGGGGCAGAGGTGGTGCCGGAACTGACGATGAGGTTATGGGGTCACGAATTGCCGAAGACATTGATATGTTGTCACCGAATTCCCCAGAAATTTCTGCTGCCCCCTGCTCATCGGATAAGTCAAGCGCTGGATTTGAGATGGCCGGCACTGACACCTGTTCGACGATTTCTTGGGCAATGGAGGAACGCCTTCGTTTGCCCATATTTTGCAGAATTGCCAACTTCAAGAATACTTCCTCCAAGGACTCGGCATTGTACTGCTGTCTTAAATATTCGGGCGATTCCTCTGCTAACATTCTACCTCCACGTAGCAATCCAATCTAAAAAATAATATAATTTTGTAGATACCCAGCATTTAGCGTCTATCCTCTGTTTTATATAAATCACACTGCATTGATTAACCCCTTCAATTGGAAGAGCAGAACAAAAACTACTTGTACCTTGAAATATTGCCAAGTTTTACGAACATTCGCCCATTTCCCGTCGACGTCATGGTCCTGTTTGTAATGTCTAGGCTTCTATCAAAGCAAATGTATAATCGTGGTTTTGCATAACTTCCAAGTAGTCTTGCCATCAAAAAACACAATTATAACCTCCCACAAGCACCCTAACACCCTGTCGTAGCTATCGTTCGGGCCGGAAATTTTAGCCGGTAGCAGGCGGAAATTGACTTAATTGATTTATGTTCGAACATGACTAGACACATCGTCATGCCTTTGCCGCTTTTTCGCTTCTTAGTGGCATGTCAGAAAAGATGCACACTTAGTTAGGTTCCCATCCTCCCTGCTCTGTCCGCATGTGTAGGAGAATGGACGTGAAAGCGAAGCCCGCAACGCTGTGTTTCACTTGAGTTTATAGATGGTTCTTGTTTTTATATCGCCGTGCTCTGGCCACGAACACATCTGCTTGGATGTCTGTGTAAGTCCGTCTGCGTTCAAGCGAGTGTATGGTCTGTATTCGAAAACTTTTCGCATTTCTCTTGGTCAGCTTCTGTAATTATAACAGCATTACAATTACATATTCATGTCCTTGCCAGGGCCGCTTGCTCCGTTTTGCGTTCAATGGGTAATTAATGAACTTTATTGGAAGATTGATAAAGTTCGGATTGTCCCTCGTCGCACCAGCGAAAGCAAATCAAGAAATTGAGTCAAAACGTGAAATAAGAGGATGGAGCCATCATGTTTGGGTAAAAATTGTACATGTAAATTGTGTGTCTGTAATCCGATTCAGGTTTCTGATACTGTATATAAGCCAAATGAGAATACACTCGGCCGGCATCATTCAGGGGTGAAGGGGAAAAACTAATTGAATTGAATGTAATCAATCCACTAAATATTGAACATTTGTTGCGGTCCACATGCATTCATTATCAGAATTGGGGAAAATAGTCCATTGCCTCCCATTAATATTCATTTTCCACACTCCTATGGGATGTACATTCCGAGGATATGATATAGTGTGGAACAGTATGACTTCAGAAATTATATTTAAATCGTTTGCCATTTTATAGAAACGACAAATACTTTTTATATGCTTATGTGATAAGGCGTATAACAGACACAAACATAACACAGCGATTCTGTCCTATGATGACATCGACATCAGAACCCGGTTAACCTTCCGCAGAACTCTGCATTAGCCCTCCCAGAATATGTTTAGTATGCGACAATATAGGAGACAAATACCATGGGAAAACAAAGAACCTCCCCGGCGCATCATATGCTGGTTGTGAAGGCTTTGTTGCTTTTGGACTAAATAACTGCGAGAGAAAGGCGAGGGGGTGGCGGTGGTGTAATACAAACCGCAAACATGTCAAACCAAACTATTGTTGCACCAAAGATAGCAACTTTCGTCTCCACCCACAAGCAGGCAAGTCAACAATTTAAGGCCATAAGCTGAATAAAAGCGGAATCGTAGAAAAAGACACAAAGAATGCCGGCAACAGTTCTGTTCTGTTCGTTTCAGTTCTGTTCAGTTTAGTTCCCTCAGTTAGACATACTTTTTGTTGTGGCGTTGGTTTTGGCTCGGGCTTGTTTGAATTCGTATCACATGAATAAATATTATCCTTATAAAAAGTTTTTGTTCTGATTTTGAATGTTGCTTAAAACAAGTAGGGTGAAAAGCAGTAAAACTATCTGCATTTGAAATTGTTCGCTTCCATCTTTGTCTGCCATATACAGTGGGTCGCCAGCATTTTTTTCTCACAGTTATGTTCTCCAATAAAAATAATTTTAGTTAGAAAGAGGGAATGTCTGACACCATTCTGATATGTGCCTCTGAACTTTTTATAAAGTTAAAATGTTACAAATAGACTTGACTGGAACCACTGTACCATTTCTTCATTTCTAAATGGGCTTCACAGTGGGGTTGAAATGAGTCGCTCTGTAGTTTAAGGCGGTGATGCATAAAATTCCAATCATATTAAAAGTCACATTCGACTAACAAATCTACAGACGATATGTCACAGTATGCATGCATGTGTCTGTGTGTTTCCCAAAATACCAACACACATTCTAACTACAGATATTCATAGGGTGTTGTGCCATATGCATGCCTGTTTCGGACCCTTTCGGACTAAAGGCACGAGCAGCTATCAAATTAGTACGGATGACCTCAGCATAGTTTCAAAGCGTACTGAACTGCATTCAAATTATAGTCGATTCATGAGCTCTAAAAAAACACCCTGTGCATGGATATATTCGTAAATATATTTATGTTGCTACAGCTTTAAAATAACTGTCGTTATTGTTGCTGTTTGTTTGGATGCACTTCGTTTGTGGCACACCAAGGGGTTGTTGCTTATCTGTATGTGTGTGAGTTTATGTATCCATGTATTCATGTTTCCAAGAGAGTGACAGAATATGCGGGGAAGTAAAACTTTTGAAACGACCAAATTACTGCAGGGCATTCTCTATGAAAGTACAAACTTGCACATTGACAAATGCTAATTTGTTACGTTCGATGGTAACCGATCAATGCAAAGGGAACTTTCTATCGGAATTTGGAGCATCGTCGACAAACCATCCGACTTTGTTCAGTTCGGACATGCGAGGTGGTGAGTGGGTAAAAAATGTAATATGTATTGTGCTCCCAATGTGGTAGAATGTGGACCAATATTTATGATTTTTGGTAGGGAAATTTGATACTCAACGAAAACCCCATCGTGATTTTAACAGGTGGACTTGGCTGGATCGACATTAAATTTCATTCTGGTCAAGAGTATGCACATATTTTATTAGAGTCTCCGGTGATTTTTCGGTGTGTTGCAAACGGAATGACGAATATAACGTATACTACTACTATATTTTTACGTCAACAGTTGTATTGCGAACGCGGAGAAATCCATGTCTTGAATTAGGTGGAATAATTGGTGGCTCCGGCGGTAAAAATTAATTGTATGAATCTCATACAAAATATCTATTAACTCAATAGTATACCAATTTATACGAACAACGGCCACTATTTCCACTCGAACAGATTACCGCAATGTAATGTTGGCTTAATATTTATTTGCGGCCTTAAAACCTTCATTCAAACTTGAAGACATTCATCTGGCAAACTTTCATTCCATTAATTTTCCAGGCGACACCGACAATGTCACGATAACGATACATATCTTGTTGGCTGGTTTGCAGATTTCTTTCTTTGTTTGGCGTCTCCTCCCTCAATAATTACTAGGGAAATTAGCATATAAAGTATATGGAAATAAATAACGCTGGCTACACACATACATACAAGCATTGTTAAATGTATTCGCAGCCCAAGTTGTTGGAACAATTGGAGCTTTTTGTGCTTAACTTGGTTTGGGGTAGAAATAGCAGTAATGATTAAAACATAGTCGAATGTAGTTCGTGAAGACTAGGATGTGCAGGGCGGGAGCGGCCTTCATGAAGATGTTTGATATCTATGCGGGATTAAACAATGGGTGCATTTGTACGCCACCTCTCACCGCTTGTCCACCGCAGCAACCAAATTGCCAAAGACATTTCTACGTTCGGGGAAATTGTAGATCTGGGAATGTGCATGAGGTGGCAAAATGGAGGGGCCATAACATTTTTATTGTCACACGTAGTCACATGGCCATTATCCATTCGGACAAACTTCTATGGGAGTTGTCGTTCATTTTGTCCTTTTCTCGCTTTGTTTGCCAATACAATAAATGTTTGTCTTTTTAACACAATCACTCTTTGCAGAGAGCAATAAAATGGAGATTTAACACAATGTGTTTTAAACATTTAAAGCACTACCCTTGTGACTAGTGCGGATGCTGATTTCCTTTCGGCAAGAATCCCATCGGACTCTGTCGTCTAGATGGTGTCCGCACGCAGAAGGGTGTGAAAGTGTGTGTGTGTGTATGTGGTTTTGCTGGAACATTCTTGACTTGATGGCGTTTGTACTGTTGTTCGCAAAATTAATGCGAACAATTAATCACCAGCTCTTTGGACGATGAAACAACTGCAAGGACAGGAGCTCGCGGTGACATGTCATGGTTAAATGTTGGGATATTAATATACACACCTTAAACCAGCGGCCTGTAGGACTGTGTAAACCAGAGCAGTTATTAGTGTGGACGTAGCGATCACACATAAGTTCATATACCACCTTCAAATTCGAGGATTTTTTGCAAGATTGACTGTGTGGTCTTTTATGAGAAAGTTGGCCTAACAGGCTTAACCGCAAATTCACACAAATCATAAAATGACGTTTGCCATCAAACTTACAGGCGCCACAGCTGTAGCCAACTACAAAGCAAGACACTGCGAACGGCAAACCAACAGTTCTGTTTCGTATCCCTGTTTTATTTAGTTCCACGTATATGTTTATGTTTTGCTCTTCTCGCAGTTCTGATGGGTTCTGTGCCTTGACATTCATTTAAGTTATTTTCGCATTAAAAGCTTAAAGGACCCCTTTGTAAACGTTCCTTGTTATTTTATTAGCCACATCCCAGTCTTCAACGAATTTCGACATGAGTTCGTAGCCAGTGTAATAGACTGCCTACAAAATATGTCTAACTCCACATATTTTGTAGCCAGTCTATTAGGAACATTTCTCGATGATGTTAAACTTTTTAAATGCAACATTTTATTTCAATATTTAATGGAAAATGTTGACGAATTACGCAATCGTACTTATTTAAGTAAATTGCCGGCGGAAAGAGAAAACAACCCACACATAGCAGTTTAGCCGCATTTTGTCGGTATGGAATGAAATTCCATTTGAAGGTTTATTTAAGTACAATTTTTAGTTGCTATTGTCAAGACTATGTTCTTTATTTCCTCGCCTGATCCTTAGTCCTGCGACTGACAGAAATCTCACTACGGCTTCTAGCATAGTTGAGTTGCATGCCTCATTGAGATTTTGATAAATGGCTTTTGAAAGCACGCCTTGTCGTATCGCAAGCTTTACTTTTGAAAGCGTGCTCTCAATCACACACAATCAACTTGCAAAACACTTGATGTATTCTATAATACTTATATTTTTAGAAAACATTTTTTATAATAATTTTGATGTCAGTCTGTCTGAATAGAATCCTAAAGCGAACAGATATAGATTTTCGCTATATTTAAAGATCGGAGTCAAATTTTCCTTGCATACAATTTTAAAAAAGTGTATCAATATTTTGGCATATCACTGACATTAAGGTATTTTAAAAGTCCGAGTCGCAAACAGGTCACCGAAGGGGTTACTATAATGAGTAGATCTTTATTATTAAAAATAAAGTGTTATATGGGCCCACGTGGTACAAAGCACATAAAAAAGTATTAGGGCGTATGCCGCATTTTATAACAAATTAGCTGAATTTTCACATTTCTAATTGGGGATTAATTGAAAAGCGCCTGCCAGAAATATACATCAACTCAAATTATATTTGATTTGGTTTCCCGGCTGAAGGCACAAACAGGTCTACTTACCGCATGCGCTTGAGCGCACTCATCGATGTAATGTGTTGTAATTATTACAGTGGTGCTGCCGTTCTTGGTTATGTCTACTAGATGATCCCATATGCTAAAAATAAAACAATTACATAAATAGGGTTGGTGGCGCGTCGTAGTTAGTTTGATTTGTGGCTTACCTCTGACGCAATACGGGATCAACACCTGCGGTGGGCTCATCCAGAATTAAAAGTTCAGGCTCCTGAAGCAATGCCACCGCCAGACTTACACGTCTCTGTTGGCCTCCACTTAAATTTTTCACAAACTTTGATCCGTGCGGCAAATTCAGCAGTTTCAGTAAAAATTCGGTCCTGTCTTCAATGTCAACTGCGGACATATCCGCAATTAGGCCGAAGTATTTCAGTGTCTCCCTCATTGTGAATTCACCGTACAGTGCCACCTCCTAACGTGAGAGAAGCATTAACACGAAATACTGCAACGTAATATTAATTTTGACCATATCGGTCCGCCCATATGCGTCTGGGCAGATTTATATTTCCTACGGACCGATGTGTACGCGCACATACATGTGTAAGGTCTTACCTGGGGCATATATCCGATTCGAGGGCCTGGTACACCAGAACCCCTTGAACCAGGACGTCCACCGAGAACCCAAATTTCACCAGAATTTAATCGCCTTCGTCCAACAATGCATGAGAGTAGTGTTGTCTTGCCGCATCCAGAGGCTCCCAATAATCCATATCTACAAGATGAGAAAAAAAATATAATGTGTGGGAATTTGTAATAACCCTGATGTTCCACCAAAGTACTATGTGTCAAATTTGAAATAATAAGATGGTATTTATTTTAAATACCAGTGCCATAATCTGCAGCTTACAGGTGCATGTCACATGGATTTTTAACTTCAAGCTCCTTCTGTTTTTAGGGCTTTTCTGGGTCGGCACCTTTATATAGGCACTATATAAAATTAAAGCCACTTCATTAGGCACATGCGGCCAAAACTTTCAAGAGAACGAAAATACCAGGCAGGATCTGATTATGGCACGATAATAAAATGTTTACGCGCCGACTGCATAATATAATTATGTTGACTACTAGTCCGGAATTATGGAGTGGAGCTCTGTAGAGAAAAGAGTATGGCATGTATGTGCCCCTATTTGATGTAATTGGCTTTAGATATGAAAATATAGGCACAAAGGCTCTTAAAGAAATTCAAAATCAAACATATTTTGTACATTCTCTTTTTGTTTTAATAAAAAGAAAAGTGGCCTCTTATGATTCCAAATGGAAGATCCTTTGAATTGAAAATTTCTTTGATTTGTGTGTCCAGTACTGCTCAAAATTGGGCAGCAGGATTTTCTCTTTTGTTTTGCTATTTTAATTAACTTTTATGGGAACTTGGATTTTTGTTGGTAATTGTCGCTGGTGGGGTGGCAGCGAAGAACATTATGAGTCCGCACGTACTGCCTCCATGCAATGTCGAGTACGGGAGCAGCCTCCCTGCTTACAAATCCGTCGGTCTGTGTTTAACTGTGGTTTGTCTCTACGAAATTTCCTTGTAAGTTTGTGGCATTCTGTGTGCTTTACACGTTCGTTCAGTGGTTTGTTTAATGCCTAACCTCAAAGCAGAAGGGAAGAATCAACAAAAAGCAACCACAACAATGAGTGAACAGTGAACAGGCCACTTTTACATCAGCCAGTGTCGGAGAGTGGCAGTTATGCTATTGTCAGAATCTTTAATGTGTATCATTTTTCATAATGTTGTTCAAATAGACAACAATCGATATTACGAGGAACAAGTGTACAGGGTGTACCTAATGCCGATTGGAAGGTTCATTGGATTGTTATTATATTATATTTTATGTTGTACTCACAACATTTTCTCTGGTTAGTTAGGCTATTGGTGGGTAAATCGAAACAGGGAAGGGCATGCATCGAGTCATTACCCTAAAGTCCATTCCGTTGTAGATGCATTACTTTCATTTTTGATATGACACATGTTGTCGAATTTTGTCTGAAGAAATCCATAATTAAAAATAAGTTTTTATTTTGCCGGAAATCACCTGATTAACCATTAAAATAAAACTACAATAGCAAGGAGTCTAGTCTTGTAGCGTAAGTAACCCGGGGCATAATGGTTTCTATTGGCCGAACAACTTTTGTTTCGCTCCATAGCGTACGACATGACCAGCCAAATGAAATGCCAACGAAATGATTGCAATGGTAATAGTAAATATTACTTTGCCATTGATTCTAGGTTATTGGCTCAGCACTGAGTGTGAGAACATAGCAGCACTTCTACGAACTTTCCGGAATCCCTTCCACTACCACATTAAACAATGGTCAACTGATTGTCAGTGAATGTTTCTTAATTGGTTGTGATATTCAGGACTAGCCTGACTCATTAAACGAATTGTAATCTAACTCAGTAAGCTTGAAAGGAGACAAATGTGCATTCCAAGACACTATTGTTAAAAAACACCTAACTTCACAGTATCGTATATATATGTATGTACCCATCAGTCGATATTTATAGTACACTTGAGTTCATGGTAGTTTGATTTTTGTCGGAATGGAAAGTCGGATTTTTATTATTAGCATATCAAGTTGAAGTTAAAATTAACAAAAAAATATTTTGTCTACTTTGAATTCCTGGGTATACAGGTATATAATTGGTTTCTAAGGCGGATTTAGTGATAAGGGTACAATTTTAACATGGACAAAATATATTCATATAACTAATGGATGACATTTTACTAGAAACATTTAAATGTAAACTGGAGGCCAAAAACCAAAGCAACTGAAATTGCAAACTGAATAAATGACCTGTAACTTTTTTAAAAATAAACTTATAGTGAAAGTTTTTTCAGAAATAAATTTATTCATAAAAAAATATTAACGTGAAATATATTTTGAAATAACAAATATTCTATGGAAAACTAAATGCACACAATTTTGCTTGGTCAAAATAAGCACTTTTTGTTAGTAATCGACAGCAAAACGTGAATATATATTTGATTACGGCAGCACTTCTACGAGACATTGGATCAATAAAACATTAAATTTGGTACTTGGGTTTGGATACGAGGAATAGTAAAATACCATTCTTTCGTGTTGATTATGTTGTGACTATTTTTAAAACTTAAACTCCCAATTTAATATTAAACATGCCTTTACAAAATGATCTTGCCTCCAGCTTTTTTTAATATTTTGAAACAGCTTCTGCCTCCATGCGAATCATTTTTTTACAATTGTTCCAAAGAAAAAACAAACATAGAAGTTGTTTTGGTACAATGCTTTTCCGGTCTTGACATTTAACAGATGAAATGATCCCCAGATCTAATGGCTATATTGAAAATTAATTTTCAGTTGAAAACATGGAGGTTTCAGATAGGTTTCCGAAATTGCTGATGTATGTATTATACGTCTGAAACGTATGACATTTACGTCACTATTTCTGACGGACCATATCTGATTCCCGCCGTAATGAGAATGTGCGTACTAAATTGTTAACGACCCCGATGTGGCAGAAATCACTGTTGCTGGTGATAATGATGATGAGGCAAATCATAGACGACTGAGATTTAGATTTTATCGAACTTTAACGTAACGGTCTTGTTGTTCGGAACTGCCTTCGTAATGAAAGAAATATAATTCTTAACGGCACATGATTAGCCAATAATTACACAAACACCAAGTAGGCCTGAGCATCATTAGCTGTCCGAGTCAATGAGACTCTGTCAGCAGCCATTCCTTCTGTAACAAAAACAAAGTTGCCTTTCTAGTCCATCTTCTGTTTGCTGTTTGTTATTGTTATTGCTAGAAGCCAAAGAACAGATGAAGGGCCTCGGCATACAAATTTAATTATGTTTAGACAAATAACAAAAGAGAGTGAGCCAAAAATACAAAAAAAAAATTCAAAGGGACGGTTGGGGGGGGGAGGAGTGGCGAAAGATACCACCAACGTTGGCAGTAATGTCTGGCGAACTTCAAACAAAGTAAAGGCGTTTAATAAAAACATAAAGAGCAAAAGTTTTTTAAAGACCCCTTCAGCCACGCTCGAGTCTTTTGTTCCGAATACACAATACTTTTTATTTCAGCAATACCACAGCCAACACCGCTGTCCACAAAAATGTGAAGGCAGGAGCACAGTGCCTCGTAAAACAATGTAACAACAGGAACACATTGGCTGGACTCTGTTAACACTAGATTTACGGACCGCACAATTTAACTCATTTCGAATTTTATAACTAACTAAATATGAGAATTTTCAATATTCTTCGCAGATTCACAAAGTGTGTCGCCCTATGAACTTTACTATGCAAAAAAAAAAAAAAAAATTGCTTATATGCACCGTACATACGATTTGTATAACCTTAATTTTGAAATCTCTAAAAATTTGAAACATCTAAAAATATATCAGTCACAACAGAATGAACAGAGATAAACGCCTATGTTGACCAGTAAAAGTTTCTGGCACACAGCTAAGATTTTTATTTGTAATGATGTTTTTGGTACTTAGTTACATAATTAAACAAATTTAATGAGTTTTTTTCATATTTTCAAAAAAATGCAGTAAAATGAAAACTTACACAATGAAGAAGAATTGCATGCAATAATTTTATATTTTCACCTTAGTCTCTTAAGTGCAGTATATCTAAGTGTTCTGTATTAAAAAAAAAAAAAAAATAAAAAAATCCAACGAATTGAGGGCCAATTACAAAATGTTTACCACAGTAAATGTTTTAATTACGTGACCACCACAGTATATATAATTAACATCCGTAAATATCAGTAATGAATCGGAATAAATAAAATTTTATCAAATGAGCTTATCGAAGCTTCAAATTTGTACATGCTCAACAATGTTATATCAACTATTCAATTTGATGCAGGGACGTACGCAGGGGGCCCGGGCCCCCCCGAAATGAATTTTTTTCACAGTAAATTTATGTTTGCATCAGGCCCCCTCCCCCCGAAATGAAATCCTGTGTACGTTGCTGATTTGATGAATAGTGAAATACAGATCCATTTTGTTACACTGTGCGATATGTCAGGGGACCGAGTATCCCCTTATCCACACATCCATATCGCACCCATTCACTCATAATATGGCATGCTTATGACAGCCTGTATTTGCTCATTGGGCAGCAATCTGAGCGTAGGCGACAACCGAAAAGGCTATTTGACCATTCGGGGTGGAGGAAACAGTTTAAGACGATTTGTTGCATGGCTGGCCAGTCCTTGTTTGATAATGTTATCAAATAGACAATTGTCAGGCGACGAATCGCTAATGGCCCACACATACACACAAAGCTAAGCGAATACGGGTACGGATGTATGTGGCAGTACAGAGAACATTCCGGCCGAGCGATGGTCATCGAGTATCAGAGTGAGTTCTGTACACATTTTGTTATTTCATGACATTACTTTGTAGCTCCCCTCACATGTCATGTACTGGTAAAAGTAGACAATTACTTTTATGCATATATTTCACTTGGGAACGATTTGAAATACATCACAGATGCAAGCACGAACATGGAAAGGTGCAACGGCAACGATTAAATGAACGATTGACCACTTTGTAGAATTTGCACTAGAAGGTACAAGAAATCTTCAATTTTGTATACACCTTCGCCAATGATTGAAAAGAGGTATTCAAGATAATTCCACTGCTTCGAAATACATTTATTAATTGTCTTATACATATGTTTCCCGGAGCTTCCAGTGGTCAAGGATGAC